CACACACACACACACACACACACACACACACACACACACACACACACACACACACACACACACACACACACACACACACACACACACACACACACAAATACTAACAGCGAAAGGGGGAGTTGAGGAGAATAGTGAGTATATGGACAAAGAGGCTGAACGCCCTGGCAGCGCAACCGCAGGAGGAGGGGAGGATGCAGGTGAGGTGAAAAATGAGGGGAGCTGCCACGCAGTAACGGACGGCTCTGTGCGTGGCGGGAGCGGGGTGAAGAAGAAGCATTCAAACGCCGGCGGCCGGTAATGGCAACAAAAAAAGTAATTCTCAATTGTTAGTTTGACCTTTTTTTTTCTTTTTTTTTTTGCGCGCACTTTTATTATTGTTTTTTTTCCTTTTGTTATGACCCACATTTTTTTTTTTTTAACTTCGTTTTGTCATCGTTTCATTTGCTGCGAGACTTTGTAGATGGAGAGGTTGTGTGACACCTTTTGCGTCCGTTGCGTGTGTGTGTGTGTGGCGTTGTGGCCGCTTGTGTACGTTTACTTTGCGTTACCCCGCAGTGCTTCTTCTTTTGGGAGGTGCATGCCTTTCCTTTGCGTTGATGTTTGGTTTGCCTCGGTATGTCTCGTGCTCTCAATGGGGGAGGAGGAGGAGAGTTGTGGTGCCGGTTTTGTTGCTGCGCGTTGCTACGACGCAAAAGAAATTAAAAGTACTTTGGACGGCGACGGATGCGCCGTTCCACAGCAACGAGTGGGGAAGCGGAGAAGGACGCAAGAAGACGTTTGGGGGTAAGCAGCAAACGAGGGAGCGGATGCACGAGGGATGAGAGATGGCATCTTGGGCACGGCTTCTATCGTGTGCGCTGCCCGTCAGCCATGCGGCTTTGGGTGATGGCTGGTGTTGCTGTTCGTGACTCTTTTCGCACGCCGTGCTCCCTCTTCCTTCTCGTTGCAGTCTGTGGGCCCTTGTCCGCTCTTGGCTTCCGCACTGACTCACATACCCGCGAATCCTTGTATCTCGTTACTCTTTTTTTTTTTTATGCACTGTATCTTTTGTGTGCTTCTGTGGGCGGGACTTTGATTTTTGTACATACGTCTACCTTTTTTTTCTCCATGTAATTGCTTCATGCGCCGGCTCTACCACGGCGGCTGTGTTTATTACCATTATCGCCATTGCCGGGTTCGGATGTATTTATTTAATTGCCCTTACTGCATGGCTTCCTCCTGCATTGTTGTCTTGTTGGTTTTATGCTGGTTGGCTGCAGCGCTACACCCGATCTTCTGCTCTTCACTTTTTTTTTTTTTGCGTCTCAGTGTTCTGCCGCCAGTGGGGCGACGGCGGAGGAGGATAAAGATTTGTGGAGTAGCAATGGAGCTCTTGTCAACTGTTGATAAGCTGGAGAGAAAGAGGAAGAATGATGCGGCACTGTCTGCCTCGGAGACGTTGGTGTTGCTTGAGCCTAGTTCTTTGCTGTTCCCCCCGCCCCACCGTGGCCGGGCGGTGCAGAACGTTGTCGTGATGTACAACATTGGCTCTCTGCCATGCATCTTTAAGATCAAGTCACGGACGCCTGAGCGATATTACATCAAACCCAACATGGGCACAATATCTGCTCAGGGAGCCGTGCGTGTCTGCTGCATTTTGCGCCCCCAGGCCGAAGATTTGCCGTCGACAACGCGGGACGTTTTTCGCTTTTGTCTGAAGCCAATTCCGTGGAGGTTGCTTCCAAAAAGGCGGGAGCTACTGCATGGGGCGAAACTGAAGAAGTTGTGGGATGCTGCGGACTGTGAAGCGCTGACCACCGTGACAAAACAGTTACATTGTTGTTTTGAAGGCGACGCTGCATCTCCGCCGGGAGCATTTATCACGGTACTTGACCCCGCTACTATTGGCCTAGAGATCCCAGCTGAGAGGACGAACGCCGTCTCAGCCTCGGCAACGGGCGTTGATAGTAATGATTCCACGGGACTCACGCAGGAGGCGTCACAGCAAGAAGGGAGACCGAGCAGCATAGTGAAGCGACAAGGAAAGGGTTTGCAAGATTCCACGGGCAGCACACCTGGCCCCAGCAGCCCCTCCTGGAAGGAGCAAAGAGAATCAATGGGAGGCGCAGGCTCCTCCATATCCCAGGGGAGAGCTCGTGAATTGACACATGGGATGGGGTTTATTATAAGGAAAACCACTAAAACAATGGGCCATCAGGTGCTTCTTGTATCTTTTTTTTTGATGGTGTGTAATTGCGTGTGGCTTGTATTCCACTTGCTACGGTGACTCCTGTAATAGCGGGCTGTTGAGTTGTACGTTGTTTCTCGCGGAAATGCTGCCAAACGTGGATCGCCACGCAAGCAACTTGTTTGCTACTGTGCGAAGCCTCTAGACGAGTATCGCATGCGTTTTTTTTTTTTGCTTATTTCCTCCCATTAACTGAGGATGAGAGAAAACGTGCAGCAACACCCAAAAAAAATTAAAAATAAAATCCAAGAAGAAAGTTTGCAACATTTCGTTTTGTCTTGTGATTTCTCATGTGCGTGTGCACGGGAGTGTGGTATTGGGAAAGGCGGTGTAACGGTGTGACACATGTCAAGGCTCTGCCACTCTCTGCGGCGCGTCAATATATATATATATATATTCCGTCAGCATGACAGTTTTTTTCTTTTTTTTTGATTCGTCTTTCGCTTTCTCTCTCACACACGCATACACACGTGAGCGTAGGAAGCGAGTTAGGGGTGGTGCCGGCCGCGAATGGAGTACACCTGCGTGGTTGCCGGCGATCCCATCGTTGGGGTGGACGCCTTGATGTATCTGCTAGTCGATACCCCACTTCCCCAGGAGCTACGCGCGCAGCAGCAGCAGCAGTCAACGCCCTCGTCGTTGTCATCGGCTGCGGCAGAAAAAGTGCTTATTCCGCTGCGACGGACATTAGACCTGCCACATCCCTCACTACCCGAGTTAAAAATCCGTGTTGTGTTGCAGGCCGCGCGTGCACCGTCCGATATGGCGGTAGAAGAAACAGCGACTGTGGTGCTGCTCGTATTCTTCATGGCCTTTACGGATTCGCTGCAGCGCATGCAGATGGAGTGGACTCCACCGCTGCAGGGCCTAAGCCGCCCGCCGATCGTGATTCTTGTGGGGATGACGCACGCTCACAATAAGGCGGCTCCCACAACCATTCAACCAGGCGAGGTTGCACATGTCGCCAAGGAGGTGCATGCAAAGGCGTATTTTGAGGTGGACGAAACTGACAATAACACTATTCGCGGTACCGCCCAGATTACAGAACTTAGGCACGCGATTGCTCGTGCCTGCACCGGTGAATTTAATGAAATGGAAACTGTGACAGAAGCGACTATTTATGAGCAACAACAGTGCGCCGTGCTGACGTCCTCTTTGCAGTCTTTTTCTCCGCGTCTCTCTAGCCCTGACTCGGCCAGTCAATGGACTGCAAATGGTTGGAGCAGCGGCCTGGCGCGTGCGGCTCCCTGCCCCGTCTGGGGGTTTAGACGAAATCCACGCACCAACCGTCTCTTTTACGTTAACCGTGTCATCAAGAAGTCGCAGTACAAACGTCCGCCAGACTACGACGGTGAAGAGCCGGAGTTAACACTGCAGGAGCGTGTGGAGGCGGAACGGGAGCGGCAGGAGCAGCTGCAGCTGGAGAACGCTCTGCGGCGAGAGCACGATGAACTAGGGAACTTCAACGTCGCGATGGAGGAACATCATCAGCGCGTGCGGGTGCTGCAGTCCGGTGCCCGGCAGCTGCAGCTTGCGGTAGAGCGACTTCGAATGCAGGCGGCATCCTTGGCGTGTAGGCGCGAGAGCAATAGAGTGAGCCGTGAGCACATGGCAACGTTGCGCGAGGTGTCGGTGAAGGAGCGGGATTTCCTGCAGGACTCCCTCCAATTCCACGCGACGCAGCAAAAGGAGAGGGGAGCGGTGCAGCAGGCCCTGAAGGAGATGGAGGCGGAGGCGAATGAAGAGGGATGTGTGAACCGTGAAGAGAGCGAGAGGGAAAAAGAAGTGGCAGCGCAGTGTTCAGCCACGGCGCCGTCACGGCGAGGCAGCATCCTGGGGAAAATACACGTGGTGCAAGCCGCGACGCAGCAAACCATGGACAGTACGCGTGTAACCGTGGCGGCGTTGCGTGCGTTGCTTGAAAAGAGCGCCAAGCACCGTGAACGCAAAGCAATTCTTCACGCGGAGCTCTCCTCCACGCTTAAGCGCACGGAGTCGCTTGTGCAACGCACGGCCGTCATCGATGCGGAGGAGCAGCGCGTTGGCGCCACGCTGGTAACCGAACGTGATTTCATGCAGACTGAAACAAAGGCACTCCAGCTACTCGTGGACGCGCGTGAAGTGCAGTTGCAACGAGGGCGAAATCGTCTTCTTTCCCCAGAGGTTGAAGGTTTCCAGGTGATGTTGCTGACGGATGAGGTCCACCAGCTGGAGGAACAAATAGCGGCGACCAAAAAAGTTTTAAGGCGTCTACAAAAGGCAACTCCAATGGGAGTTGCCCACGAACTTGCGCTGTTGCACCGCAGACGCAATACACAGGCTTGTGCTACCGCCCTTGCCACATGGGCCAATCACGTTCGCTGCATCGCACGTCTACAGAAAAAGCTCAGTCTACGTGTGGAACGTCTTTCCGATTTAATGCAGCGTCGTTATGGGCTGATTTGCAGCACACGTGAGCGGTACGTTGAGGAACGTCTTTCCCTTTTGCATGATTGGTACAGGCTAGATGCCGAAGTAGGGAATTCCGGTGGCTTCGGTGACGTCGCGGCACGCATGCACCTCGTTGAGGAACGCATGGATCAGCTGGACACATCTCTTGAACGATTGCAGACGTACATGGCAACCATCGAACACCACTCAAGCAGTCATCAGCTGTACTTGCAACGCTGCAGAGGCATTTTGGAGAAGTTGTCTCTGTGCAATACGGATGTTTTTTCCTTGAAGTCAGACGATGAAGTGGAGTCGTGCGGGATGTTGCTCGTGGGGCGACTACGAGAGGTGACGGCACGCCTCCATTCCGTTGCTATTTCAATGGGCACACTTAATACTTCGGACGGCGATGACGGCGACGCTTTTGGGGAGATGGGCGTAGGAGCGAGCGCCGTATACGCAGGACACATTAAGTTGCTTCAGCGGGAGTTATGGCGCTCTGCTGTGCGAAGTCTGCTGTGTCACTTTCGCCCGGAGGAACTGCAGGAAACCGCAAGGAGACTTTCCCGTCGGCATGCATTGCGTGCAAATGACAACAGTGACAAGTGCAGAGGCGCCACTAACAGCACATCGCCGAAACGAGTAATGACCAACACGACGTCAGCAGATTCTTCGCCCGTTTTTCACTGCAACGTTGATGGGCGTGCCGCTGCAGGTCACAGTGGTGTATCATTGCAGCAACCAGACAGCGATTCCGCATCCGCATCCACGTCTAGAATGTGGATGGAGCAGCAGCTGCTCTCTGTTCTTGCATCGGTGACGGGCGGTTGTGGCCTCGACACGGACGAGGCGACGGTGACGGTTGAGGGGGGCGTGTTGACCGAGTGCCCCGTGTCGTACGACGCGCTTCGAGAGCGGCTGCGGCGGGTGTACGCCTAATAGTTGCGGTGCGCGTAGGCACAGTTTTTTTTTTTTGTATCGGCTCATTTGCTACGGGGTGGTGGTGTGTCACCGCTTGATGCTCCCCCCTCTCCCACTTCTCTGCACTTCTGCACGTGCATTCCCGGAATAACGGGGAAGTATGAAAGTCACAAACAAAAAATACACACACATACGCGGAGCACGGTGACGTGTGTGTGTGTGTGTGCAGGAGAGTTGTCACAGCGCACGTTTACTGCTGTCTACGATGCGCTCTTGTCTTTCCTTTATGATGATGATGATTATTGTTGCTTTTGTTCTCCCCCTTTTCTTATCCATCCACCTCTTTAGGTATATGCGCTTTGAAAGGAGTTCCCAGCAGGCGTGATTGCGGCTGTTTTTTTTTTTTTTACGTTTACTCGGTGAAAGCTGTAGGGCGGTTTAACTTGCGCGTGTGACTCGCCCTTTGCTGACGCGCTGACAGGACGTGGGGCAGACGCGTTGCTGTTGTCCGTTTCACTGACCGTCTCCGTCGTTGCGTTTTAGTATCATAATTGCGTGTGCGCGTGACATCCGTTTTTTTGTTCTTTCCGTTGCTGGTTTTCTGTCTGCCTGACGGATGCCGCGGAATGCGACGGGGGCCATTGTTGAAGCGGACTGCCTGGAATGCCCTACTCCGCGCGAAGCGCACGGCATGCCTCGGCCTCTGCAACACGACGCGCACCTGGACACAACTCTTCCAAGCAGCGTGCATGAGACGCGTATTGTAGACCAGCTGCAGCTTCTACTTGACACAAGTCAGGTGAATCTGCAGGAGTCTGTGAAAATGGGCCGTATTGCCGCTGGGGCTCTCTTCTTTCATCAAGGTGCCCCTGTCGCTATCACATCTATCATGCTTCTCATCTCGTGCGTGTTATTCCCGTCAGTGCAGACCATTGCGTGCACAGTGTTGTTTTTCGTCCTTTACGCATTTTGCATGGGCATGCAGATTTACTTGCTGTGGGCACGCATTACGGAGAAGAAAATGCGTACAGCCTGCATTATGCGTGATGTGCTTGCTCGCTGGCGACAACGTATAACGGGGATGATGAAAATGCCACGCCAGAGTCCCCAAGAACGTCGGGCGGCGTTTTTGGAGTCCACCGCCATGATGCCATTAAAAGCATTTCGCATGGTTGCTATTGTCGACGTGGCCACTGGACGATTGAAGCACATCCTCAAGTGTCTTTTGATGCGGGGCACAAGGCGTCTGGACGAGTCGAAGCTCTGCGCATGGCCGTACACAGAGCCGGTTGGCCCATGTAAACTCGTTGACGCCATGGAAATGACACTGAAATCCGATCCTATAGTGCTGCGGCCGTTGCAGGACAAGGGGCCCCCACCACGGCGTTCAGCTTCACAGCTTCCGAGTCGCCTCGGAGAGGAAGAGGAGGCCAACACAACGGATGACAGTGATCACGAACGCGACTCACGCAAGGAGACAATCGGGGCTAACACAAACTCCGTATCACAAAAGATGGAATTTTTGGTTCACCGTATTTTTCTGCTTGCTTGGGTAGTTGGAATGCTGCTGACGATTGCCGCTGGACTTGCCTTCTGCGTCTTTGCTGACATCTCGATGGGCGAGCACGTTTTTTTATACCCCTCCGTTGCGCTACTTGGTCTGCTTCCGGTGAACGCCATTCTGCTGAGCCGTGCGCTTATGCTTTACGCCAACGTGTATCTTGAACGACTCTTCAGTCACCTGGTTGCGAGGCCCATGTACGCCCTCGATGATCGTGTGCCACGGTTTTCGTTTCTCTCCACTTGGAAGGCGTTGTGGCACGTCGTGCGCAGACGTCCTGATCGTCACCTGCTCTGCTTCTCCTCCTCCATTGTGGAGGTGCTTGGAACGGCCACAGTTGTGGCGCTGCTGGACACGACCGGCGTGGTGACAGACATGGTGCCGCTTCCCGTAGTCATGCTGGTGTGCAAGCGTGAGGAGCAGCCAAATGGCTCTTCTAGCTCGGATGACGAGGGGGGCAACGTTGGCGGCGGTGTAGCAAATCATCCGCACGATGATGATGTGGCGGCTGCTGCTGCTACTACTGTACACGGCCCCAGGCGTGATCGGAAGTTGTGTATGGGACGTAAAAAGGCTCAAGATAGGCTCTTCTTTGAGTTGGAGTTAACACCTAGTCAACAGGAAGACCTTGCCGTGAAGTTTGCGGACGAGAAGGAGTGGGAGGCGCGGGGGCGGAACGTGTCTGTGGTCGCCTACTGTTTGCTGTTGCACGCCCTTCTGCCACAACCAGAAAACCTGGAGACGTGGACTGAACGGTTCCGTTTCTGTGACCGAACGGTTCGGTGGGCACGCAGCACGCATTGGATTGCGCGTGCCAATGAATTTGTGGATGACGTTATCGACTCCTCCCGCATACTTGCACGCATCTTTCAAATCAACACAGAGGCACGAGCCGGGCACAGAAACGACTATCCCGAGCAGGCTAGCACCTTGTTGGTGGTGGATGGGAATGGCATACTGCACGCCTTTACCATAGGTACTGTTGGCATGGTTGTCCGCAACTGCTCTTCACACTTCAATGGTACCTCTGTAGAGGCCTTGAAACCAGCGGAGCGGGATGAACTGATGCATACTGGCAATGTTGTGTGGGAGGAACGCATGGGGCTTGAGACGGTGGCGGTGGCGTGTATGATGTTACCCAAAAAATACGGTGCCGTCGCCGCGAAGCATTTTCCGTGCGACAAGGGTGGGTATAAGGAGTACTTTTTTTTTAACGGCGTGCGGGAGATGGCGACGAATGGAGGGGGAAGAGCGCCCTCCAACTGCGGCCCGCGACAGCCAGATGAAGAGGAGGGGATGCGGCAACAATCGCAGGATGTTGAAGAAACGATCTTGCCACAGTGTGACAAGCAGAGACAAGAGCAAGAAAAGGAAGAAGGGGATACCATAAACTGCGGAAATGCTTCCACGACGGTGCGGGCCGTTGATGACAACGCCTCAATGGGTTTAGCTGAGGGAGACAGAAATACCTTTTCGGGGAGCGAAGGGAACGACAATGTGGATGCTTCTGCCTCACTTGATAGACTTCTCGATGTTCTCGTAGGTGACAACTTTACGTTTCTCGCGTTTGTTGGCCTGCGTGATTCTATTCGTCCCGATGTTGAGAAGTCCATGTCGCTGTTAGATGAGGCTGGTATTCGTTGCATGTACTTCTCCGCGGATAACGAGAGGCGCACGAAGAGTTTTGGCAATCGACTAGGGCTTGAGACGGACTGGAACTGCTGCATCTCACTGAAGACAGGTGCGGTGGAGCTGGACCCCCACAGTATTCGTGCGCAGCTTCCAGTTGGGATTGATGCCATTCGGAAGCACATCCTACACGTGGATCCCATTCCACTGCGTGTGAAAATGTTTTCACACGCCCACAGCGTCTCCACGCGTGCGATGCTTTCGATTCTTCAGGACAACCATGACGTGGTCGTCTCCATTGGCTCCCTTTTTAACCATGGGAACGTGCGCAGCTTCATCCAATCCGATCTCTCAATTGGTGTGCTTCCGACACGACGTGGCCCAGTGGCGGACAAGGAGGAGGCGTACTTGCGACATCACGGTTGTATTGTAGAGCCGTCTGACTTTCACGCGAGGAAAACGTTTAACCGGGACCTCCCGCTCTACCACAATGTAACCGACCTGCTTGCCTGCCCTTGCACCCTGGCGGCCTCCCCCACCCCGTCTATTTTGCCGATTGTGACAACCCTCATCCGGCAGGCACGACTTCGTCTCAGTGGAATTGGAAACTGTGTGGAGTTTGTACTACACGCCAACTTCTTTGTTACCCTTGTGAATGTGGTCGCCTTACTGACGGGATCCCCGCTGCTCATCAGTCCTGCCGCCACCGTCTTTGAGCTCAACGTTATCATCCCCACCCTCGCACTCTCATGCACGTACACGGCGTATGCGGATACTGATCCCATGAAGACGATTCCCTCAAGGCATAATTATTTTGTGCGACTCGCCATCTTTCGCCACAGCGTTGTGGTGTGGTGTTTGCGCTACGTTCCCTCTCTTGTGGCATTGGTGGTTCTCGGGATCACCTGCGGTACACACATATGTAAGAGCAATGTGGCGGGCTTGGGCTTGTCGGCGTCCGATGCCTGTATGACCTCCACCCGCGGCTACATTGCGCTGACGATGAATTACTGGCTCATGATTCATAGCTGGACACATCTCAGTCGTCATCAGCCGCTCTCGCCAAACCTCTCCTTTAAGACACGCTACGGCAAGCGATCGAGTTACCTCTTCAAGTCCTTTCGTTGGGTGTCCGCGTGCGTTGTGTCAACGTTGCTGAGTGTGTTATTTGTGGTTGTGAACACAGTGGGTGACGGCGTCGCGATGACTGCATTTTATCCCTCGCTGGTGCATTTCTTGGTATCCCTCCTTTTTCCGGTCCTGCTGCTCATGTTGGACGTGCCCATTAAGGCGTGGCGGCTACGCCGCTACACGTTGATGCAGAAGTTTCATCGGCTGTCGTTTGGCACACGGCTAGGGATGCACTCGCCGCGCGGCGACTACGAGCCAGAGGGGATGGCCTTCACGGATGCCACTGAGGAGGCGGTGCAGCATGAGGATCGCAACCCGACGCTGAAGCAGCGTCTACACGATATCTTCTACCGTTTTACCACGATGAAGCGGGGGGAACTTGAGCTCAACTGTGTTTGCTGCAATCACATCGGGGGGAACTACGCGACGTATCACATGAACAGGGACGCCATGTGAGTTCGCGGGACTCCTGACTCCTCCTCCCCTCGAGGGTCTGTAGCGAGTGGTAGTGGTGTTGTTGGTGGTAAGCGAGGAGGGCAAGGAGTCGTGATGACTGGAAGGAAAACGTAGAGAAGTGTACAGAGGTATGGTAGAGACGACGTTGGGGAGCAAGCGCGATACATAATTGAGAATGATAGAGAGTGTATATATGTGTGTGTGTGAGTGTGAGTAAGGCGGTAGGAGTCTGCGTTTGGCGGTTTGGTTCCCACCATATTTTCCCAGGTCTGTGCGGCCGATAGAGGCCAGACCGGTTGCGTGAGGTGGCAAGCGGGGCGCACGTCGTGGTGCCTCCTCTCTCTCTCTCGAAGGAAACGAAACGTGTTGGGTAGTAGCAGGAAAAGTGGCGAGATGAACCAAAAAAAGGGGAGAGATAAAATGAAAGGATATATAAAAAAAGATGGTTTTACGGTGAGGTTAACATTATTATTATTATTATTATTATTTGGTATTTCTCAGCAGCGGGGGGCATTTTTTTTTTTTTACCGTCTCTCATGCACTGCGTTGGGGGTTCTCCATCATGCGGGTCACCTCCTTCTATTTTCTCTTTCTTTCCTTTTTTTTTTTGGAAATTTGTTTTTCCTCGTATCAATGAGTGGAGGCATCTGGTCTTAGTGCGTGTCGGTGGGGAGTGAGAGAGAAGGAAAAAACAAAAAAAAATGAAGGAGTGGTGTCTGCCGCGCCGAACCTGCGCAGCCGCATGAGCGAGGGGTTTGCGTAAGAGGCCAGCGCAGTCGCCCGGAACGCTCATGCCGACTCACAGTGGGCAGACGCGCAAGACACACAACGGTGCCGGCAGCAGCTGCTGTGAGGCTTTTTTTTTCTTTTATTTTTTCTTGTGCCCGACTTTTTCTATACAGAGGAGGAAAATTTCGGCTGGTGTCGATGTTGCTGACTGCAAACACAAAGTTCTGCGTGAGTTATGGCACCAAGTCATGTCGCAATACGCCTCTCAACCAGTAAGCCGCAATATGGCCGGCTGAGCCAAATGACGCAGCCTGCATGTATCGGGGGTTCTTTAGTTACCATTTCCTTCGCGTGTGTGTTTTTTTTTGTTGTGTTTGTTTATTTCTTTGCTTGTTTGATGCCGCTAGACGTGTGTGATGTTTTTTTTTGTTTTTGATGCTGATGGATCGTGCACGATTGCGAATTTGAAACCCCCGCGTCTATCGCTGGTGACGGAGCAGGGTAGATGGGCGTTTATTCCGTGCCGGTTTCTGCATCTCTTCTGTTTTTTTTTTGTTTGTCTTTTCGTGGGCCGTCCTGCGGCTGCATGTGTGGTTGTGCGACAACGTTGATTGTGCCAACGCATTGCGCGTCTGCGGTGCTAGAAGGCTGTTGACGCCGGTGGTGCACACCTGCAAAGCAAAACAAAAGGGAGGATCATGGGCGAGAACATTCCCGCACTGCTGCTTCGGCTTCCAACTGTTGAGATTGATGAGAGGCACGTGCGAGATGGTCGCGTCACCATGTCCTTGGATGATGCCTTCACTGCAGTGAACGCCTACTTCCAGCTTGTGGAGGACTATTTGCAACAAGAACAGCAGGAACGGGCCTTGAACGTTGAAAAGGATATCATTCCGGCGATAGATTTTGCGCTTCGCCTCTTCAACGCGGAAAACTTCAGTGGTGAATTGGTGCCCGCGGAGAGGGCACGATTGGCCTTTGTGCTGCAACGTTTTACCATGGCAGATGCACTGCTTGAGCGCTGCGTGCAGCGACTGCTTGTAAGTGATGGGGAAATGCCCCATCCCTGTCTGCGCCTGAGTGCTTTGCTGCTGTGCACCCTGGCCATTGTCTGCAGCAAGGTGCAAGGTAGTGCGCAGTCGCTTGTGCCGTATCATTCTGTATGGCGTCTGCGAGTTCACATGCGTCACCAACTCGTGCTGCAGCATAGTGCGCATTCCGTCTTTCTTCACCTATCCGCCTGCGTGGACGCAGCTCTGGCGCTGCCAGAGGCCCAGCTCAGTGTCGAACACCTCCTTGAGATAGGCCATGTGCACAATTATTACCACCGACGCGACATCGCCGCCGAAACGTTTTGGCGGGCCGTGCACAAGAGCGGCCTTACCGTATCGGAGAGTGCCATGGTGGGTGTGCGCACCCGATGGCAACGACATCAGCTTGTGCAGATGGTCATGAATGCGCAGAGTGCGTTGCCATTCACACCTCAGCCCGTAACCGATTCGCCGCGGGTGGTGATGAGCGAAAAGGACGGCCATGACCTCCTTGACCGCCCGCGTGAGACTCCAGAGACGCCGGCACCCCCGCTACAACCACTCCATCCGATAGACAAGGCCATCATTCTTGCCCTCTGCCTTGACATTCGCAACACCAACCCGTATCATGGGCTGACGCAGCATCACATGCAAACGTACGTGGAGCGACTATTGGTGGACCCAGCCCCGGCCCCATTTATGATTCAATGTCAAACACTTCTTATGCGCAGCCGACTGGAACGTCGACGCAACCGGGTACAGGAACGGGCCTTTATGCAGCTGACAGAGTTGGTTGATCAATTCTCCATGAACCGTGAACCCACACGCGAGACATTTTACCGCACAGAAAGTGACTACTTTTATAGTGTGGCTTATCCTTCTATTTGGCAGTTAAAGAGCGAATACGCCGATTTCTGCTACGAGGAGAGTCTCTTTAAAACGGCTCTTGACGCCTATGAGCAGGTGTTGGATTGGGAGAATATTATTAAGTGTTGCAAGGCACTGGACAAGCGAAAACGGGCGGAGTCTCTTGCACGTGAGCTACTTGAGACCGATCCATGTAATCCTTTGCTGTGGGTGGCGCTAGGGGAGGCAACACGCGAGGTATCGCATCTCTGGAAGGCGTGGGAGTTGTCTAACCACCGATCTGCGGCCCCGATGCGCGCGTTGGCGCGGCTGGCACTTGAACGTGAGGAGTACAGTAAGGTGGTAGAGTACTTTGATGAGGCAGTGCGGTTGAACCCCGTGTTTGGCGGAGACTGGTTCTCGCTTGGGTACGCCGCGATGCGGCTTGAACAGTGGGGTCGCAGCGGGGAAGCCTTCACGCATGTCTGTCAGATTCAGCCAAATAATGCATACGCCTGGAACAACCTTGCGTCGGTACTGCTGCGGAATGGGATGCTTCGGCCTGCTTTTAACGCCATGAGTCAGGCGCTGCACAACAATCGTCGTGACTGGCGCATGTGGCAGAACTACTTTTCCATTGGCTGTGAGCTGAAGGAGGTAACAGAAACGACAAACGCAATGAATGTCCTGCTAGATATTGCGAAACGCAATACACGCTTGGAGCGGGAATCCTTGAACCGCTTTGTGGATAACGCCATTGCGTACATGGAGGGACGCATCCCCGCAAGCTCTAGGGATCAAGTGGAGGCGGTGGATGTGTCTCACGCCTCCGTCGCTTTGATGGAGGAGGATGGTGACGCTGAGGAGGAGCAAAGCATGTATGAGCTTGTTCCGCTGGGGAGTGGTGTGGACATGCCTAATGCGTTTTTAGAACCCAGCAAGACGGAAGCGTCAGCGGCAGAGGCGGGGCGGGTGCGTGCAGGCATTGTGGGCCGCTACAAGCAACGCATGCGAGACACCTTTAAGCGCATCACCGACCTTTTTGTAACGGACCCGGACATCTACCATTGTGGAGCGAAGTTGCTGCGTTACATGGACGGCCCGTTGAGGGCGTACGAGATGCGTCTGAAGGAACTACGTTGCTGTCAGCAGAAGGATCAGTGGGAACGAGATGAAACCCGCTTTTCCCGCACCTGCGAGTGTCTTCACGAAATGGCGGGAGACGCTCTCGCCGCTCTTGAAGCCGCGCTGGTGGCTTCCACGGCAGCAGCAGATCAGGACGATGTGCAGCGCGGGGTACTGGCAGCGTTGAATGACACGCTGAGCAACACAATGGCCGTCATTGAGGCGGCGCAGGATTACATGGGCGAGTCCACATCCTACGCCAAACTGCGGTCGGTGCTGCTGCCGCAGCTACATGGCGGCCTGCAGAAGGCGAAATCGGCGTTTAACTCGGGCTAAAGTTTAAAAAGAATGAATAACAAGCCAAGACAGCAACATATATATATAACACATGACCGGGACAATAAAACGAGGATGACGAGTGGGGGAGGAACCGGAAGAAAGAGAAAGAGGAAGAAGGGCGGAAAGCGAAGCAGGAGTGCACTTTGTCGTTGTTTCCTCTTCACCCCCGTTTTGTGTTGGTTGCATCTCTCTCTTCCCTGCTCCCTCGTTGTCAAATGCATATGCTCTTTTGTGTACTAAAGGTTTTCTTGGCCGTGATGGAGGCGCGTGTATGGCAGTACAAATATACCTGTCGTTTGCGCATCCTTCACCGACTGCTGCCCGTTGCCTTTTTTTTCCCCATCTTGCACAGCGCTTTGCGGGGACCTTCTATTTACCTACACAGACCGACGTACAGACATACAGAGATAGTGAAGAGGAAGGCGATCAAAACACGAGAGAAGGGGACCAGGGTTGGGAGGAGAAGGAGACTCAAGCGACCTCTTTGCTGCCTTGTTGCTTCCTCGTTTCTTCCCCTTTTTTTATTCACGGCAATTTCGGGATTCATCTCGTACACGCCGCATTCAAATATTACGTGCAGGTGCCCGCGGCAGAGAGCGCGTGCATGCGAGGTGGAGCAAAGCCAGGTGGATGATGGATGGTAACGATCACCGTGACTGTACGCAGCCGAGTGGGCCAGTTACGCCACGTGCATTATGTGGCGCAGATGAATTTGTGGAATTGCGGCATTACAGCACGCTGAATGAGCCTTCCCAAATGCACACGGATGACCTCCATCAGGAGGAGACGGTGCGGAGCGAAGTGGCAGTGCAGCTTGCGGAGAAGGTCGTTGTCCTTCGCCGGCAACTGCAGCGGCGGGAGGCCGAAATTCAGGCGCTGAAGTCAGGCATCGAGACTGGTGTGGGTCCGGCAACGCATGGTGTCGCAGCCACCGCCGCGGACGGTTTGCCTGATGGGGCATGCAACAGTGTCCGTGCTGTGACGCCCGTGAAGACGGGGCTGCTCGGTGTGGAGCAGGCGACGGAGTTTCAGTGTCACCGCAGTACTGCCGAGCTTCAGCAGAAATTGTCGGAGATGGAGACGAAGGGGGCACTGTGGCGGCAACGCGTGAAGGAGGCGTTGCGGACGTCTCAAAGGCGAGAGCAGGCCCTTCTCGCCGAGAACATTGCACTCCAGCAGCGGGCGCAGAAGTTACAGGAGAGGCTTAATGAGGCCATGTTTCGCATCGAGGCTTGTGCTCTGAAGAACGCGCGGCAGACCACGAAGGTGTCTTGCCACAGCCAAACGAATGAATTTACAGAAGATGCGGAGTCTGACAAGGATTTGTGTTGCGGTGACACCCTGGTGATGTCCGACACCGGCATCACACTCTCCTTGCGGCAACCTCGACATTCTTCTCCGAGGCCTACGACACGTGCAATGTCGTATGTGGTGGCGTCTATGGAGAGCTTGGCTGCAGCGGCGACGGCAGCGCCCACTGTGGCGCCAATGCTGCCTGAATTTCTTTCCGACGGTGATCCTAAAAGTCCTCTCAGATTCCCTTACCCGCCTCCATCGCTGCTGCTGAAGTCGCGTGGAAACTCAAATCCAAACAGTAATAGTACCAATGACAGTAGCTTAAATTATGCGCTGGAGATCACGTCGCGCGATCCGGGCAGTCAGGCAAAGGCCCCACCGCTCATTGTTGCAGTTCACTACAACAACTCAGAGGGGTGGAGTGTGCAGACGAAGGTGCGTGTCAGTCCCGGCATGACGGTGACTAAGCTCAAGGAGTATTGCTGCTCACTGTTTAACGAGCGCTACCAACTGCAGCTGGACGCCGTCGCACTGTGTGTGCGCTACTACCACGCGAAGGCGAATCGGCATGTGGTGCTGTCCGCGTACCGTGAACTGCACTCCTTCGCCTGTTTTCAGCGGTGCGAGCGCGAGCAGATTCACATCACACTGCAGCTCGTCACGGAGGATCGCTTGGCAAGGCTTGTGCACGACACAATGAATGTTGCCACTGTGTCAATGCTGAATTCCCCACGTGACCCTTCGGAGTGACCGCGCTCCACCGCCCCTGCCTCATCCTTCTTCCTATCGAGTCTTCAACTCCTTTTCAAGTGAAACGAACCGTTGCGTGTGTCTGTATTTTTGTGGAAGAAGCCACGTTTGCTTTTTTGGTGCATTTTGTTTTTGTTTTTGTTTTGTCAGTTCGCTCCCCGCATGCTTCGCCCGCCGCGTGACTGAGCGTTGGGTGGCGTTTTGCGCCTCCGCCACCACCACCACCTCCTTTACTTGCCCGTGAACGATTGCGTCCCTCCTTTTTTTTGTGTTTTACTCTCTTTCTCTTGTCGCTCTTTTCGCCTCCCTGCTGCTCTTCCACGTTATCTTTCTCATTTGCTTTTTTTTTGTTTGCATGTGTGTTTGCTGCGGTGTATGGCCGTCACTGGGCCATCCGTCTTGCTGCGCCGCGCGGTGAAACGCATAAGAAGAGCGGGGCTCGCGGAACTGCCTGAGCGCGTAGAAACGGCGGAAGAGAGAGAAAAAAAAGCGAAAAGCGAAAAAACAACAACAACAACAACAAAAAGAAACTAAGTAAATCCAGTAAAAACAAAACAAATACAAACGCACGCAAATCCGCATAAACATCGCCAACAACAGTAAGACGAATAAATAAGCAGGCAGCGTGAGATAACCGAAGTAGAGGAGTGCGAGGGAGAATTGAAGGGCAGTGTGACTTGGCAACAAGAGCAGCGCAAGGTGTGTAGGAGTGTTATTGCAGCAGCAGTAAGGGAGAGTGGGAGAGGAGTTCATTCTTGTTACCACCATCACAATGCCCTCTTCTGCCTCTGTTGCGTCAACGGCTCGCTCCAACGCTGTCAGGGGTGTAACGATTAAGCGCAAGGTGGACGATCGCGTTCGCCACCTCATTGACAATGCGGTGCACAAAAAACACCGCGCTCTGCTGCTTCTCGTTGGTGACCGCGGGAAGGACCAGATTGTTAACTTGCACCAGATGGTCTCCCATGCCAACCACAGCGCCAAGGTGAATATGTTGTGGTGCATGAAGAAGGAGCCGGATTTTGGTTCCACAAGCAGCAAAAAACAGGAAAAGCGTGCACGGCTTGAGGTGAAGGGTGGCATGTCTACCGAAGCTACGAAGGAGGCCTTTCAGACATTTCTGGCGCAAACTTCCATTCGCTTTTGCCAGTACAAGGAGACGCACAAAATTCTCGGTCAGACGTTTGGAATGGCCGTGCTGCAGGACTTTGAGGCTATCACCCCCAATACACTTGCGCGTACAGTTGAGACGGTGAAGGGTGGTGGGCTTGTGGTCATCATGTTTCGTGCGATGCGCTCGCTAAAGCAGCTCTACACTATCGCAATGGATGTTCACGCACGGTATCGCACAGAGGCCTTGCGGGATGTTGTGCCACGCTTCAATGAACGTTTTCTTCTCTCTCTTGTGGACTGTGATACGGCGCTTTGCGTCGACGATGATTTAAACGTGCTTCCCATCACTGCAAAAATGCAGTCGGTTGAGAACGCCCGCACTTCCAGCTACGATGCGGAGTTGGCGTTGCAAGGCCGGCAGAAACACGAGGCAGATTTACTTGCATTAAAAGATCGACTCCGTGGGAGCAGTGAGGTGGGGCCGTTGGTGGCGGTCTGTCAAACGCTTGAACAGGGCAAAACGGTTCTCTCGCTGATGCAAACCGTTGTGGAGAAGTCGCTCAACACAACCTGTGTCGTGACGGCAGGTCGTGGCCGTGGTAAGTCGGCAGCTCTCGGTCTTGCTGCGGCTGGCGCACTCGCACAGGGCTACAGTAACATCTTTTGCACAGCCCCGTCACCAGAGAACCTGCAATCCTTTTTTGAGTTTGTTGTGCGGGGGCTGAAGGAGTTGGGGTACACGGAGCGTACGGAATTTGAGGCCATGCAAAGCACAAATGTGGAATTCAGCAAGTGCATTGTGCGCATCAATCTCTTTCGTGAGCACCGCCAAACGGTGCAGTACATCTCCCCGCATGACGCCTCAAAATTTGCCCAGGCGGAGTTGGCCATCATTGACGAGGCCGCCGCGCTTCCATTACCCGTTGTAAAGCAAATGTTAGGCCCGTACCTCGTCTTTCTTTCATCGACGGTGTCCGGCTACGAGGGTACAGGGCGAAGCTTATCCATGAAACTTGTCGCAGACATGCGTAAACATTGCGGCAGTGATTCGGGCACGGGCGCCACGACTGCTGCTGCCGGGAATTCCGATGACAGGCGTTTTCTTCGTGAGATTGCGCTAACGGATCCTATTCGTTACGGCCCTAATGACCCAGTTGAGTCGTGGCTAAACAAACTATTGTGTCTTGATGCGACCGTAAGGCCCGTAGGCGTAAAGACGTGCCCGCATCCAAGCAAGTGCGAGCTCTACTATGTGAACCGTGATGCTCTCTTCTCCTACCACCCGCTTGCGGAGCAGTTGCTTCAGACGATTGTAGCAATGTTGGTGGCGGCGCATTACAAGAATCAACCCAACGACTTGCAGCTGATGTCCGATGCCCCTGGTCACCATGTGTTTCTTCTTTGTTCTGCGACGGTGGACGCCAAGGATGGTCTTCCGGATGTCTTTTGCGTTATTCATGCCTGTGAGGAGGGACAGGTGACATCCGAGGCGATCAAGAATAATCTTAGCCGTGGTGTGCGGCCCGCGGGTGATCTCATTCCCTACACCTTGTCTCAGTGCTACCTTGAGGAGGGCTTTGCCAAGCTTGCTGGGCTTCGCATTGTGCGCATTGCTACCAATCCCGAGTTACAGCGTTCAGGGTACGGTTCGCGCGCGCTGGCGCTGCTTCAGCAATACTACAGCGGTTCCATTTCTCTTTCTGCGGCTCCCGTCCCCTCATCCTTGGCGCAGGAGGGCAACGGGGAGGAGGGGGCGGACGATGATGCAAACAGTTCCATCATTCAACCGCGCAAGCGCATTCCGACGCTGCTCACCCCACTGCTTGAGCGTCCATATGAGATGATTGATTACCTTGGAGTGAGCTTTGGTGTGACCACAGCGTTGTTTAATTTCTGGAGGCGCGCGGGCTATGAACCTTTGTACCTGCGTCACGCCGCGAATGAACTCACTGGCGAGCATAGTTGTGTGATGGTGCGTCCAATTGGTTTGGACCTCGCACTTCTGCGAGCGGAGTTTCGCCGGCGATTCATTCCACTACTCGCCATGCCCTTTCGCCATCTTCCGACAGAGTTGGCGCTGAGCATCCTGAAGGACATTGACGTGAATGACCCACAAAAGCTGGCAGCCGTCACAGACCTCTCTCGGGCTGCCGAACACATTGTTCGTGTGGGTGGTCAAGTACAGTGCACCTGGACCGAGCTGGATCGGATCTTTAGCAGCAATGACATGAAACGACTGAAGCTGAACGCCACCACCTTTGTGGAGGGTGGGCAGGTGTTGGATCTGCTGCCTGCCTTAGCGAAGGTTTACTTTGAATCTCGGCTGCACCGACTGCCGGACGGCTCCGAGGGTGTCGTGCTGTCACACGCCCAAGCAGCTGTGTTGCTTGCGGTGGGGTTGCAGTGCCAGACTCTGGAGCAAGTGGCTCAGCAGACGGTATTTGCTGGTGTGCCGATTCAACAACTGAGGGCCTTCTTACAGAAGGCTGTCTCCCGCATTGTTGAACACTTTACGCGGCTGCAGAAACTGAAGGTTCCAGGAACGGATGGGACCAAGCCAAACGAGACTGAGGTATCGGAAGAGAATGAGGAGGATGTTCGTGAGATATACGACAATGCTGGTCAACTTGTTGGCCTTTCCGTAGAGAAAAAAGTACGACGCTCGATTAACGTGGACTCCACACTACTGCGGGACGCCAAATCCTTGATCCAAGGGACGAGGGGTGAGGCGGGGAGTGCCACCGGACTGCAGCGTACATTCAAGCGATCAAAGAAAACTCGACTCAGCTGAAGGTAACGGCCAATTTGGTTTTCTTCTTCTTTGTTTGGTTTTTCGTCTCACGGTGGGAAGAAGGGGTGGGGTGGGGGAAATGTGTGGCATTTGTTTTTTCCCGCTTTGCATGTGTGAGTGTGTGTGCGTATATGAGTAGGTGTAAGCGTAATTGGGGAAGGTGTGACACGCCATGCATGAAAGGGAGCAACGTAACCCCCACGCGTTTAACTGTGTGCACCCTGAAGTTACTACGCATTGGCTGGATTTTTTTTTTTTGGCTTTTTACTTTCTTCGCGATTGGCAGGCCCGTGTGTGGCTGAAGGGTGCCAATGCACAAACATTTCTTTTCCACAACACGGAGGGAGGGAAAGAGGGAGGTGTAAGCGTAACGGAAGGTCTCTGAGGCTTCGTCTGTGTATGCGTGTGTGTTTTTTTTTGTCTATTTTTATTCCTTCTAGATCGACTGCACGCGTAGCGGGGCGGCCACCATACAACGTTGAAGCCGTCTTCTTCACTTTATTTTGCAGTTTACACAATTAACAGGTACAAATACATTTTTATTTTTGTTTTTCTCCTTCTGTTGCCCCGCAAACACCCCGGGAGGAAGCGGAGGAGACTCACAAACGGCCAGAAAAGCACGCTGCAAGAAACAGGGGAAATGGCAATCGGGGCACTGCCGTTTCTGATTCTCAACTACGGGGCGGAGATGGGCTTTATTCTTCATACACGCCTTATCGCTCAGAATGTTGCGAGGGAGAAGGCTAATACGGTGATGAATGATGTTGTGATGCATATGTTTAGCACGGAGTTTTTGGAAGAGCTTTTCCGTCCCCAACCACTCTACTCCTACATGGCTGTGAAGGAGGTATTCAAGTCATTGGCGGAAACGTCCCTTATCCATCTCTCGCCCGTATCAATGAACAAGCTTTTTGAACTGATGACGATGGGAGTGAAGTACCAGGTTTTCACCCTGCGTCACCCGCTGGAACTGGTGGAGATGACATGGACACACCTGGAGGAGTTGGAACGGCTCGTTACACCGGCGGCCCGGGATAAGGTTCGCCCCGTCTTTGCCATGCTGGAGAGGTTTTGCAGTTTTCTCTCGCACGGGGATTTGGAAGAAATTCGCAAGGAACTGCTGAATTTCCTCGTTGGCCGTAACACGCTCATCTCGGTGCTCATCAACGAGGGCATGCAATCTAAAACTGGGAAGCTCTTCTTGCCTGAAGACTGCGTTCTTCCCCCACTCTCTGCCTGTGAGCCGCCTGGTAGTATCCGTTACTTTAAAGATGGGAAACTGGATGCGTCAGCAGTGTTTGAGCATCGTGACGCCGCACTACGGCATCCGCCGTCCGTGCCACTTGACACGTGGGACCCGAAGAACCCAGCGACGCGGATGACGAAGAATGGAAGAAATATGTACGCCCCAAGCCGTCAAAGATGCTTGACGCAGGCGGAAGCAAAGAAATCAACATCGATATTGCCTTTTACGACCACGACTGCGGCAGTTCCCACGGCGACCTTGCCACCGGAGGTCACAGGCGCGGTAACGAAGGAGTTGAACCATTTATCACGGCTTGTGGGATGTGGGCAGTATTCACTGCATAAACCATTTAAGCTGATCCTCTTTGGTGACATGGACGAGGATGTAGGAGGGGACGGCGTAGGTAATCGTGGAGCCAGTGGCAAAGTTATTGCCGCCGCGGAAACATCGAGCAGCCGGTCTGCACCTTTCGCGAAGCCTTTGACGCGTATGACCAAAGCCGATGTGGAGTCGCAAAACCAAGAGTTATTTGGTATCATGGACAGTATGCGTGTGGCCATGGCAACCTCGAGGCTCTCGGAGAAGGGTAACGATTTGTTGGATATTATGGATGAGGATTGAGATTTACAGAGTTCAAACTAACGGTGAAAAGAGTTTGTGCAAACACACACACACACACACGCACACACACAAAGAAAAACATTCCATCGTAGCGCGTTCGGTGAGGCTTGGGCAGAAAGAGGGAGTGGGGGAGAGATGGAGGGGCATTAATAAGGAAATATGTGTATGCAACCTGCAAGTTTGAATTCACCGCACCACTCATATTTTTTAGAATTAGATTTGACGTTCGGGTTTGTAAAAGTCATGTGCTCCTCGTTCTTTGGCTATATGCGTGTATGTATTTAGTTTTGGATTATGTTGCTTTGCTGTGCCGTTGACGCTGCGGCGTCGTGCAGTGGAAGCAGTAGTAGCAGAAGTTGGAGAGACGTCAGCGTGGCGGAGGCGGATACCTCACACCCTTAGAGACGAAGTTGTACCGTTGCCGCGATGCTGCGCTGGCCGCTGACAAATATCTCACCGCGATTGCCTGCAACAGCCTTTGAAGCGGGCGAAAATTGTGTGCGACAAACTGAACTACCGCGAGAAGCGTCGCATGGGGAAACTCCTAGAGAAGTCGGTGGCACGCCGTTTAAGCCAAGCGTACGCCGTGGATGGGAAGGTTCATGAAAGCAAGTACAAGACCAAGCTGATTAACATCACCTCACCATTGTTGGCTTCGGCGGCCACCCGTACCACTTCCGCCTGTAACCAATGCCGGACGTCACTCGCAATACGTTGATTGATGGCTCTGGAATGCGTCACGGCTTTGCACACTACTGGGGAAAGTGCAACAACCCTGACTGCGCCGACTGAAACCATGGTGACGGCTGCCTGGTGAATGTGGACATTGAAACCCTTGACAGACCTCTGCCCCCAATCGCTGGGAGTACACATCGCTCACCAAGTGGCGCTCGATGGACCGCTCGGACATAACCTACAACACACGCTTCAGCTGCCAGATCTCCGTCATGGAAGAACTTGACGGCAATCTGTTGGCGCTGAAGCAGTACTGGACGCGAGCCTTGCGGGAGTTTGTGTCGGACTGGGGTCTTGTGGACGACATTGGCACCATTCACGGCTCACGAAGTAAAAGGATAGAGCTGTGGGCGCCAATTATTGAGGAACCGACGCAGGTAGATTTTCCCATCACGCTTGACATGCTGTGGGCGCAAAGCTACCAGGACATTATGAAGGCGAAGTACCCGGAGAGAAACCGGAAGGACGGTTTTCACACAAAGCCCGAGATGTGGGCAGCGTACGTGTAGGGTGGAACCATGAAGCGAGTGGCAGGGGAAGGAATGTGGATGGAGGTGCAGTGAATGCTTGGGAGCGGATGAAGGGAATGGATGAGGTGGGGCTTTTTTTTTTGTTAGTGCATGTGTGTGTTTTCCTATTTTTTTTTGTTTTTGTTTTGTTTGAGTAACAGTCTTTTCAGATTTGGAGTTTGTGGTAGTGGTATCAGAGAGAAGGGGGATGAGATTAGTAGTCGTGGTGCGGCTGAGCAGGCCATTTGTGACGTCTCACACCGCCTCGGAAAGAGGTGGGAGAAGAGGAGCAAACAAAACCAAAACCTGACCCCTCTGCGTCTTTTTATCTCTTCCTCCCTCTCTCTCTCTCTGACTGTGTGCGCAGGTGACGGGGTCTCTCTCCATACCGCGGCTCGGACTGGTGTGTGCCCCGTCAACCTCTACGGTGTATATACGCATCCATCTATGTGTTGTTTATTGCTATTATTATTGTTATTATTATTATTATTTTTTTTTTGGCTTTTGCCCCTCCTACTGCGGCGTGTGGGGTATAACGTGTGTGGTGGGAAGAGCAAGCTACGCCACAGCAGGTTTTACGCAAACACGCGCACATAGTGACGCTGACGGGCAAAATGGCAAATAATTTCTGGTCTACGGTGCTCCACTGGACGTACGCCCGCGGCTACATTCGCGTCCCCATTGTGTTGGCACTGCCGATCGTCTTCAACAAGTACGGCCTTTACCTCTTTGAGCCCACTTTCCAGTACTGGAACGCTGGCCACAACCAGTGTGACATTTGGGACCGCCTGAAGGAGAAGGTAGCGCAGATGGAGCAGGAGGAGGAGGAGGAGGAGGAGGCGACGGAGTAAATGTGCACCGCCGTTTACTCCCCGCTTTTGGTGTTGATGTTAATGTTTTTGTTGTTATTTGACGAATAGTATTAGTAGTAGTAGTAGTAGTACTGCTGGTGGTGTGCAATGAGGCTGCATTGAGCGAGCAGGAGAGAGAGGGAATCCCTTTATGCCGTGTAGGGGTAAAATAGTAAGAGAAAAAGAAAGAAAGAAAGAAAAGAAGAAGCATATGAAGTAATGCCGCAGAGGGCGCAGGCGTGTGGTGTGAATGTGTGTGTGTGTTGTACGAGGAGGAGGGCATCCCCCACACGCCGCAGCAAATAGGTGCCGACAACGAAGAAGTCTACAAGCCGATTCACACAATTACCCCCCATCCATGTGTTTCTGTGTGTCTAGGGAGCGACGACGGGCGGAGCCGTCACTGAAGCATCGTGCAGGGAACGATGATATGGCGGGTTCTTCTGGGCTTTTGTCTTTTGTTTTAAAGAGTTTTTTTTCTTTTTTGGATCTCTCCGCACTTTGGCCTCCCTCCTGCGGGGAGACGCCTGCTCCTGCACTCCGGTTCTCCCCTCTTCCCTCTTCCCTCTTCCTTCTTCCGCTTCTCACCGTGTGTGTTACGAGAGAGGCAGCAGCGACAAGCGGCTCTGCACCGAAACGAAAGTTTAAAAAACAAGAAAAAAAGGAAGAAGAGGAAAAAAAAAAGGAGGCATCAAATAAAATTTTTTGTGCTTCATAATAATAAAAGGAAAAATATAACAATCAGGGCGAAAAACGGGCGGCGAAGGGTGAGGCAGCCTCTGACGGACTAAACAGAGCAGCACTAAACGCACCGGTAGGCGAAGGGAAATACAAGAGCGAGTGGGAAAAGTACCTGACGCCATGACGGACGAGCTTCAAATGTCGAGGCATATTATTGTCAATGGCCTCCCAAACAACGTGACACCTGAGAAGCGTGTGCTTTTCTTGCGACACATGACAAAGAAGGTGACTGAGGTGCTCGGCCACGAAAACTTCACCATCCACTTAGTCCTGGACGAGACCACAGGCCTCGTGGCGGGTGCGTTTCTTTCCTTTGGCACAGTCGCCAACGCCGAGGATGCCTTGGCACGACTCAATCTTTACCGATTCACGAAAACGGATGTTCTCACAACATACCGATGGTCTTCCTTGCAGGCGGCAGGCGCCCCACAGGACGAGTACAGGCCGCCCGAGCTGGCGGATGACGTGGACGCGGATTTCGCGCACACCATGAGCGAGGACGCCATGGCACGTCCGCAGTTCTTTATTAAGCAGGGAGAGTCTTTTGACGTGGAATGGTATTGGTTTAATTACATGACTCTCAAAGATGAGTTGTACCGGAAGCCACGTGCACTAAAAACTGACTCACTGGGCCAATGGACGGAAATGGAGCGGCGGCAAAAGAAACTTGGGGCTGGTCTTGTCCACGGCCCTCTTACGGTGGTGCGCCCGATGCCGGCGTGGTCGACGTTTGGCCGCATGATTATCTCACAGCACACAGGTGGTCTGAAGGTGTGGGGTGGACGACAAATGAGTATGCTGTTTGAGGTGCCGGAGCTTGACATCAATGCCTTTCTGGTGTCACCGCAGGAGAAGTACCTTGTAGTGAAGACCCTAAACGATGTGAGTGTATGGGATATCCGTACGGCAAAAAAGATTCGTACACTTGGTGGTCTTGATCTTGTGGACACAGAGAAGTGGCCCATTACTCGCTTCAATGCGGGGGATTCACTGGTTGCCATTTCGCACGCTAGCCTGGAGCCGGGCGCCCCTGGTAAACTCTTCATTTATCGTCCAGAGACAATGCGTGTGCTGCAGGCTTCCGCTACGACGACGCCGATGTCGCACACATTTACCGTCCCTGGACTTAAGACAGTGGAGTGGAATCCGGTTATGGAGGCGCAAATGGCCGTCGTCATGGAACTCGGCGCCAATCAAGGCTGGAAGGTTACCATTCAGGACATCGTGGTGGAGGACAATCTCGTGCATGAGGAGATCATTGCGCAGCGCAACTTTTTGCAGGCGGAAAAACTAGACCTTCTGTGGCACCCGCAGGGAACCCACCTTGTCGTCAAAATAACAAAAACACACTCTACCGAGTATGCCCTCTTTGCTATTGGCACAAGAAGCGCAGCTGTGATGCAGTTGCAGGTGGAAAAGGGTCTTTCTGCCGGTCGTTTTGCGTGGCAGCCTTCTGGTCCACACTTTGCCGTCATTTTTGAAGATACCTCAAAGTTGGGGGATATTGGCTCGACGTCTGAGATGCGTATTTACAACATTAAAAAACATCTGAAGCTACTTGGACGTTATGTGACGAATGCGACGCACCTTTTTTGGGCCCCGCGTGGCGCCCGTTTGGTTGCCACGAACTACGCCAAGTCCACTCTGCATTTCTACGGCATCAACGACAATGGCATGGTGGTTCAGCTGGAGAAGCACTCGGCGCCTGTGACGGACACGGCGTGGGACCCAACAGGACGCTTCTACGCCTCGTGGGTGTCGGCGCTTAAGAGCGCTGCCGACAACCAATTTCGCATCTTTGACTTAAACGGCAGGGAATTACTGAACAAGCAGGTGCGCCAGCTATCTCACTTCTCGTGGCGGCCATTAGCACCGCCGGTGCTGACGGCAGAGGAGATAAAGATGGTGCGTGAAAACCTGAGCGAGTACAGCCAGCGGTACGAACGAGAACTGAAGGAGCAGGAGGAGCGTGAGGAGGCGGAGCTGCGGCGCGTCCTCCAGGATAAGCAGAGTAAATACATAAAACGCATGCGGGATATCGCACGCTACCACCGTGATAAGGGTTTTGAAAACCAACGTGCGGAACTTATTGCGTCGTCGCCCTGGAGCCGGCTCTGGGCACGGCGTATGAAGTCCCTTCCAGAGGAGGAGACGATAATGCACGAAGATGTCACCGAGGAGCGCATCGTGCAGCGCCGTACCCTCAACTAACCTACACACACACACACACACACGGCCCGCACGGCTTCTGTTTTACCCCAATTTTTAAGGCGAAATAAGAAGAAGTGAGCGAATCTTCCTACTCCTTTGCCTCTTCCTCCTCTTTCAGTGTACGTGTGTGTGTGTGTGTGTGTGTGTTTGCACCCTGCGGGCACCTCTGACATACACGCAAAGAGAGATGGGCACTGCCGTATTTTGCGGGTGACGGCCGCTCGGGTGTCTCTCTGCGTGAGTGGGCATGAGGTGGCGGAGAAAAGACGAGTGAAATAAAAGGCGGGGAAAGGCAACTGTTTTAAGCACCTAAACAAAGAAAGAAAGAAAGAAAGAAAGAAGGAAAAGCGATGGAGAGGGTGAAAGTGAAAAAAGAACAACAACAACAAAAAGACACCCACATGAAGAAGAAGAAGAAAAAACAACTCACCCACTCAAGAAGGAGACTATACATATATATATGTATATATATGTATATATATATATATGGGGTGAGTTCCCACCGCTTAGATTCTTTTCTTTCGTCTCTTGTCTCTTGGCTCTGTTGTTTCTCCCTGCCGTGGTCACTGACACGATGACACGCGGAGTACATTAACACAAATGTATGTATGCGTGTATACGTGCGTGTGTTGCAGCATGCAGTCTGGGATGCATCTCCTCCTCTTTCTTGCCCCCTTTCTATTGTGGGGCTCGGAGGCTCGCTCCGCACGCGTCGGCCAAATATAATTGCCTGCGGAAGAAGATTATTAAGTGTATTTAGTTAGACGAACTGCGAGGCGTCAGCTTCATGCGTGCATGGCGATGTGGATGATTATGGCGCGGCGTACTTGCTATTTTTATTCTGCCGTGGGAGGCCGTCTTCACCGACTGGCGTTTCTCAGCACCACACAGGCGGCTGTACGGGCGTACACGACATCCAAGCAGCAAAATGACGGTCACATGGACGACTCGGCCACCGTGCCGCCTGCGTCTCCTTTACCCTCCGCGTCGTTGGATGCCGACGCCACTTTGTCGGCTCCCCCTGGGACTCCCGAAAAAGACACCAGCACACTTGCTAAAAAAAGCGATACACAGATGGATGTTGAGCCCCTGCGATGGGTGCAGAACGTGTCTGACGAGCCCTTGAAGGAGCCCATTGTTGATGACAAGGGACAATTCATTGTCTCCCGTGTGCAGTGGCCGACGGGCGAGATTGCGTACACCACGCCGCCCCCGCCAGATGGCAAGTTAAGCCCTCGCTTTGGCTACAACGTGGTGCAAGTGAAGAAGAGCGTGTCGTGGTGGAAGCACTACCAGAAGTATCCCCGCTTTTCCATTGCGCACGTCAATATTCATGTGCTCTTTCTGCTGGGGGCCGCGTGGCTGCTCGCGTTCCTCTCGGAGGAGTACCGCAGGACGATGGATGAGATGCGCACGCCAGGGGCGATGGTTGGGGAGCAGCGGGGTCGTGGATCGGTCAATCGCCAGACGCAAAAAATTGCTTTTACCCCAAACGAGATGTCAGAGATCGTTGGCCGGGCGCAGACAAACTGGTTGGACGCCAAAACGGAGGCCAACTACATTGGCTCAAAGGAGTACACCATGAAGAGGATCCCGCGGCCTAAGGAGTTCTCCGTGGAGGACTTTCGCAAACGGTAGACGAAGCGGGGTGTGGGGGAGGCAGGCAAAGAGAGAGGGATCTGGGTGGTGGTGGTGGTGGTTAGGGCTCGTGGAGGTCCGCTAGAAGGAACAGAAACAAGAACACAAATTACAGGAAAACATCCAAGTGAATTAGATTCAACTGGAGAAAGAGTAACGCGATCAAGCAAAGGCATCGCCGCTGTGTCGATTACTCTCTTTTTTCTTCATCTTATTCTTATCGGAAGAAGAGGAAGCGCGAGGAGGGGGGAACACTACAGTCATGGGAGGGAGGAGAAGCAAGTGTTAAAAGGGAGCAGTGGGTGCGTGGTTGAGGCCCCTCACCCTTTGTTTATCCTTACGCTGTTGCGAGTATTCTTTCTTTTCTCTCTCGCTCTCTCACTTTGTTTTGTTATATCATCTTTTCCGCTGGGGTGCAGGTGTGTAACCGCACAGCCCCACACGCGCATCCCACGAGAGCGCCTTCATCTCTTTGGTGCCTGTACGACTCTGTGAGCTGCATGGCTACAAAATTAACACCATGTTGCTGCACACATTCACAGAGAGAGAGAGAGAGACCCATCCAAGTCACCTCATGCCATCAGGCCTATACGCATCATTCCTTGACCTTTTCGTTTTTTTTTCTTTTCTTTTGTATTTTTCTATTTTTTGTTTCCTTCTTTGTGCTGCCCCGCTGCCCTTCCACCATGCCACGAATAAAGATAACAAAAGAAAAAAAAACGTGAGTCGTTGGCAAAAAAAAAAAGGACAAGGGGGAGGGGATAACGACGAAGGAGGAATGGAGAATCATTTCTTTTCAGGGCGGCAGAGACAAACTTTTGCGTCGGGGTTTGCTGCGTCAGGCACCCGCCGATCTGCGTACCTTGACGCACCGTTAGAGTATCATGTGTCCACACGCTCCCCGGTTGCCATCACAACGCCGCAGCGAAGGCGTATGAAGGAATGTTTTAGTGCTTACGGCTACACCGACCCCGTCGACATGAAGGAACGGATCCCATCGAGTGATGACTTGCAACTGGCACAACATCAAACTCGTCTGCCGCGATTGCCCATTCCAACAATTGAGGAAACGTGCAGTCGGTTTCTTAAATCCATTGAGGCCATCGCCTCCGCTGATGAGTACTTTGTTGCCATGAAACTTATTGACGAATTTAAGGCGGCAGGGGGCGTTGGGGAGAAGCTTGACGCCCTCCTTCGTGAGTGGGACAAACGATGTGGGCAGCTAAGTTGGCTGGAAGAGTTTTGGGATGACGCCTACCTCTGCCCACGCAACCCTATTCCCATCAATGTAAACTATTTCTTCGGCTTTAGTGCTCATCCGAATAAGCAGGCCATGACACAGACGGGGCGTGCCGCAAGTCTACTTTACGGCGCGGTCTCATACCACATGGATATTCGTCACGACAAGTTATTATGTGAGTTTGAGCGCGGCAAACCTGTTTGCATGTACCAGAACCGGTTTCTTTGCTGCACCTCACGGGTACCCGGGAAACAGCGTGATCGTATCGTATGCTACTGTGAAATTCCTGCATTATCAAGGGATGCGTTAGAGTCTAAAAGCGTAGAGTACGTTTCCTCTCCAGAACCGCCGCGACATTGCATTGTTATTCAACGCAACCGATTTTTCTCCTTAAAAGTTCTTAAGGACGAAGACACGGTTGTAGATGTGGAGGAGCTGTTGGTGGCGCTTAAACTCATTGAGGAGAATGTGAGAAGCGTCGAAGAACCAGGTCCACCTGTTGGGTTGCTTACCACAATGAATCGCTCAGACTGGTTTGAGACACGAGAACACCTTAAGCAGCTTGGGAACCACGACACGCTGCATGCGATTCAGTCAGCCATCATTTGTATAGCGCTTGATAGTGTGCAGGTGATGACCTCTGATGAGGCCGCCCGGATCTTTCTTCATGGCAGCGGCACCAACCGCTGGTTTGATCGACACAACATTATTGTAACACGTGACAGTTGGGCTGGTGTGAATTGGGAGCATTCCGTAACGGACGCCACGGCAGCGTTGCGTCTAGCAGACCGCATGTATCAGGCGGACTGCGAACATGCCTTCACGAAGGAGCTCATTGCAGAACTTGTGATGGACGCGTCTCGACGCTTGCGTGCTGCTGCCCTGTTCACGGAGCTGGAGTGGGTGTTGGACAGTACCGTTAACGACACCATGAAGCGGGCATTCAGTGACTACAAAGAGATGATTGAGGCGAATGAGACGGCAGTGTTGAGGTTTTGCCACTTTGGGGGGGCTCGCATAAAAGACGTGAATACCCCCCCTGACTCTTTTGTTCAGCTCTCGTTTCAACTGACGTATTACCGTCTGTTGGGGCGGGCGTGCGCCACGTATGAGACGGCAAGTACGCGAACATTTCTGCACGGCCGAACAGAATGTGTGAGGAGTGCCACACGAGCCTCATTGGATTTCTGCCGCATTAGCAGTGACCCCATTTTTGCGGAGTCCATCGGATCGCTTCTACCCACTCAGCGGGTACTGATGCGGGAGGCCATGAAGCAGCACACTAAGAATATGTTGCTTGCCAAAAACGCTTACGGAATTGACCGCCACCTTCTTGGCCTGCGTCTACAGGCTGTGAAACACGGCATTCCCCTTCCTGACATTTTTGAAAACCCCGTTTTCAAGCGCAGTGCTCACTGGAACATGTCCACCTCCCACTGCGGGAGCAGCAGCCTAAGCCTGTTTGGTTTTGGACCTGTTGTGGGCGACGGCTTTGGGATAGGGTACATGATCAAGAACGATCACATTGATATATGCATCACCTCCAAGTATACACATCCCTACACGAGTTCTTTGGTGTTTGCGAGGGTTCTGCAGTCTTCTTTGCTTCTCATGATGGGTATTGTTGAAAGTGATTTGACGCACCAGCGGGCGGGGGCACGCACACTCTTGTTTTCCCACCCTACCGGCTTCAACGACTTTAAGTACGACCCAGCGGAAGGATTTGTCTATAAAGTCTCCAAGCGTTAAATGAGAACTCGGTAATGTTTTGAAGTCAACCTTTTGAGTTTGAGATACACACAACGATGCGTATTTCCTGTTCGGCCCTGTGTTTTCATCATCCTCGTCCTTTCTACATCCTTGCACTATCATTTTTTTTTTTTGCCCATGCTATTTTGACGAGCGTTTTTCCATTTCTCCACTTTCACTCGGGACAAATATATATATTTTGTTTGTTTGTTTGTTTGTTTGTTTGTTTGGAATTTGTACATGATCTAAGTGTTGTCTGTATTTGTTTGGAGTTTTTTTTTTTCTCTCTGCCTTGCCATGTGAGCGTACACGTCAATGCGCTCCCCGTGGCGCTTACTTGCGTCATATGTACAACATTTTCCGCTTGCTTGTTTGCTTAAATGAATGCGTTGTCTGGGGCGGCAGTGAGAGGGATCCCACTTTGACGATATGAGTATCTTATCTTTCCTCTCCGTATCTCTTTGCGCCGGTAGTTATAGGACCGTTACGCGCTCTCGCTGCGCTTGACGGAGGAAGTGAAATATGAATAAACGCCAAACCTTACAGGAAAGCACGTCTAAGCAGGCGGCTGCGGCGGGAGAAGAGGGGAATGCAGGGACGCCAATCAAGTTTGTGACGTACTCCGGAACGGAGCCTGCTGGGTTGAAAGGTGAGCCGAGACGAAC